AAAAACTTTACTGACGTCACCAGACAACCAACAACAATCGCCATTTTCTTTTGTACCAGTAAAATGACAGTTGTCCTATTTCTATGAAAGAGACAGAGACATACACAAAATGATTGTATTTCTGCTCAGGTCTATGAAACAATCTGCTAAAACTAAGTCTTGAATGAACTACTCACAGACATGCGAACAAAAAGGTTGCTGGTTCGATCCCCAGACTGTGCGAGACAGATCAGACTGTGGTTGTGGCTTCTGTGAGAACTGCTTTTAAAAGTACAATCAAAGTGTATTATTACCACATTATTAGTATTATTTCCATCATTAACACACCACACTGACTTACAAAGTACCGACATCTAACCGCAGCAGGAGATCAGAGAGTGAAGTGATTACTTCTGTCTGGAGGAGAAAACAGCAAACATCAGAGCTGTTCGTCTGCAGCAACACAGATCACAGAGGCAATTGACAGTTCGGATTAGCGGCATTAGAGCGAGAACAAAGTCCTATTTTTATTTATTTTAAGATCCTTATCGAGGAGAAACGAGATGCAATCCACAGGAGAAGTTACAGCAGCAGCTGCAGCGCTTTAAGAAACAGTTTTCATCATCTTTCAAGGGGTCCAAGTGTGGAGAGAGAGAACACTGCTGGCTTCAGCTTTGAGCTCATAAAATGACCAAAAAACAATGTTTCCAGCTTTGGGACCATTTTTAAATAGTTATCATGTACATAAACCAAATAGATCCAGGCTGTGCTTCACAGCGACGTCTGTCACCAAGAAGAGCCCGACGTCCAGTTTATTAATCGGACAAGAGACGTTAACGCTGCACATTAAGTCAGCTGCTAGCTGCTTAGCATTAGCCTCCTAGCTCGATGTTTGTGACTGTTCAGTCCACCGTCATATAAACACACAAATAAAAAGGATTAAAAACAATACAACATTTCACCCAGTGTCACTGATAACACACACAGTGAGTAGACCTCCCCCTCACCTGTCTCACCTGCTGCTGGAGGACAGGTGACGCCAATTTGTCTGCTGGGATCTAACAGCAGGAGAAGTCACTCAAATAAATACAGACAGGCAGGAAACACACACACACACACACAGGAAACACACACACACACACACACACAGGAAACACACACACACACACACACACACACACACACACACACACACACACA